AATTGCTTGACTCTACCGACTTGCCGAGTGGTTGACCTGTCAGGTAATCGATCGCATCAGAAAGCAGGAAAGCAAGAAATACGATAAGCGGGAAGAAAACCGAGCCTGGAATCATAAATGAAAACAAATGAAAAACCGGTGAGGTTATAGAAGAAAGCTCCGTGAAGGATATGGGAGAGCACTCGACCAATGTACCGAAATCACCAGAATAGATTACCGGTTGAGTACAGCGAGAGTGCCCACCATCCAATGCGAGAATCAAGAAGACAGAAAAAAAGACTAACCTCCATATTTTCTTTACTTATATACATATATTACCATTTCTGCAATAGTAAAGATAGGAATATGAAATGAACCTCAAAAGAGTTAATGCAGACATCAACAAAACTGAATGAACCAAAACATCAAAACCCTGAGTTTGCACAATATTCGTAATAACTCTTCCAGTATAGTACGGTATAAATATACGAACTAAAAGTTAGACATTCTTTTACAACATCTTAATTTTTTTCTCTAGACTAAAACTTGAAATCTTTAATTTGAAAAAAATTAATAGCGCATCCAAAGTTAAACAGAGAGAATATTACTAAACAAATGAATTTTTTTAATTCAAATTTTTAACAATTATACATGAGGTTTACAGAGACGTTTTTAATTCACTCAATAAGAATGTTGATAACAAATGAGTAAAGTGAAATAGTTTTAATTTACACAATTTATAAACATTAAAAATTATCAAAATTATTTAGACTTACATGCTGAATACATAAAAAGGAAGAGAAAACCCGCGCTAAACCATTTCCACTGATTTTTACAGTACCTAAGTAATCGCATAGCATGTTGAAATGTATCAAGACGAGTAGATCCTTCTTCATTTGAAACTGCTGTATTGGAAATGTCATTCGCAATAAGTGATTCATAACTCCAAGCACTTTTGCGAAGAATAAAAGCCCACAATAACATAAGTAATACAGCAGCAGTTACATTCCAAATAATAAGAAACCATAATCCAAAATACGTTAACTGCTCGACTTTTTCAGAAAAAGCAAGCAATTTGACCAGTGAAAACGTCCAATTCACTAAGAATACACCCAAAAAAAAGAGAAAAGTCTTTGGTAGCCAAGATTGTTTATGCTTGATTTTTAACACCACAAATAAAAGCAAAACAGAAAGACGAAATATAGTAAATAAAAGGAAGTCGACCGGAGAGGTGACAAAATTGTAGGATTTCTTGAACTGTAGGTAATCCCATATAATTTGAGCATTGAATTGAAATGGCGTAGTAAAGAAACCAATTGAAATGATCGATATTGTGATATCCATCCAAAAATAAGCAAATATTATAACTGATTGTAACCAAGTTCGCATGTTTCTTGAGCTGTAAAATAAGGAATTAGAGATGTAGATGTACAAGAAAAGTCTAAAAACTGTCTCGAAAACTAGTTGGGAATTCCCAACCAACGTATTATATCTACAAGCTGGTTGTATTTAGATCAATGGATAAACCACAATCATAAAAACATGACAGAAGACGGATTCACATTCCAGTCCTTTCGTCACTTTCTCAAGCAATAAGTCAATTATTAATAGTACGTAGTCAGTCCATACTACAAGAACTAGGCCTCTTAACCTCACTTCTAGGTTACTTTAGCCTCACTCAATCGTTGCATGCCGAAGGCCAGAAAATTTACATATGCAACATAAATATCTCAGTGTAAGTTATATGTCAAATGAATACAACCTCAACGATCTTGTTGCCGGTCACTTAAAATGGCATTCATCTGCACCTTCCACGTATATTATTTGCACATTTGTAATTTTAAAATCTCATACTTTTCACAAACTTTCACGTACTCTTACACTTATGCACTTTAGTTCTTCTCCGCAACTTCTTTCTATAGCTAATAATATTTTATTGCACTATCGAAATTTTAAGTAATGCAGTGCAAAACTGATATTATCCGTAATAGCATGGCCTTGGAAGATAAATTTCGCAGTCATTCTGTATCTTACTTCTAATATTATCAAAGTGTTATTTCACAACTATCTGTGTCTTTCCTATTCATTTTTTTTCCTCACGTGATTAAGCATACTTGTACGTCAATATAAGTGTGACTATATTACCGTCTGCTGCTGAAAAGAAGTTTCATTATGAATTAAAATGTATAAATGCTATAAATGAATGTGCAAATGCGTGTTTGCTGATACGTGCAACCGTATGTTAGCACGTGTGCACACGTCCGTTCGTGTGTGCGACACTCAGCAATAGCCTGCCAGAGTGATGAGAGAAAAGAGTAAATAGTGAAGAGTTGAACGTCATCATTGATTATTCACTTGTGCAGCCTATTTGTTTATTTGTATATGTCTGTGTCTGTCACATACACACAGACAAAGACATACACGTCGATTTCCATCATGCTGCAGTTGGGCTTAGTTGCCGAGGAAGAGGAACGCAATTGATTATTCTTTGCATTTTCACGTTCGCTCTGGACTCAGTCATATTTCATGTGTAGCACGTGTATATGCTTATGATTCTCTTCACCTTTTATACTACCACTACTTTCTTAAGTAAAGTCACGCGAATTACTCGTTTCAAATTATTAGTTTGTTAGTTTTGCGCACTTAGTAACTTTGCTAATTTACGAGGACGTGGATAAATTTATCATTCATTATTAATTAAGTGATTATCCCTTAAGAACTGTCCCAGATTTGTCATCAAACTAAGGTTTTTTTTGCGTCACGCATTTGATCTCAATCAAGTTTCGTCAAATTATCAGTTCTCATCTTTTTCCTTTCTACTTCAAATTACAAACATCTGCAATTAAGAATTCTTGTAAAATGTTGCAGAACTTTAGAAGGCATTGCATTTCAAGTACAACACGTGATGTTAAATATGTGCATTGTACATACTTCTGTGATTTGCATATGAAAAAGCAAGCCAGTTTTGGGTGGGGAATAAAATTTGCATTATCTATTCCTGAACTTTTAATCATTGAAGCGACTTCCACACCTCAAACAATTCGTTCATTTCTATCAAAGATCAATTGATGATTTGGGATGGAGGTGTGTGGTGCAGTTTCTAATCCTTTTCCGCTACGAGGTGGTGGTAAAGTATGGGCATTGTTGCACTGAAAATTTCTTATTGAAGAACTGTTAGGGCGGAATTTTTAGCACCAGAATTCTAATCATCTTTATTATGGTATTTCAAATGAATGAAAAATTGCAACTTTCAACTTACAAGATTACTATTATTGCTCTAATGTCACAGTTATTTCTTGCTGTCATTGTCCACGTTGACTTTTTACTTCTACTATTGGTGTTGTCACTTATTGTAATCCATCAATTACTCTTCATCAATTTTATGAAAAAAACGCTCAGAAGTAGTTTTGAAAGTAGATTCGGAATTAAATTTTTGAAACTACTTTCAAAATTACTTGCGCATGAAACTAAATGACTTCTTTATGGAATTCTTCAATTTCTTGTAACAACTTGTATTAGGTTGGTTTTTCATTACTAGGTTAACAGATGCAACTCAGTTCTCAAGAAATCACTCAGTTTACTTTATTAAGTTGCTATCATTGTCATTAATTTTGAAAAATATCCAGGTAGCGAAAAAGGTTGTGTATATTTACGTCATTTGCATCATGAAAAGTTGGTGTGTGCACTCGTGAATTAGTCTTTGATTCTCCTGATCTCTTCGTGCATGAATAATTTTTTGGATTTGCTTTCTATCATCAAATCTTACTGCATTAAAAATATTCGTTTTCTAATGCTTCATGATAATATTATGGATAAGAGGAAAGGAATTGCTCGTGTCTTCAAATATAGTATTGTAAAAGCTATTGAAAGTTAACATTTAGCAACGTTTCTATGAGTTCAAGCTGAAAGAAAGTGATTATATGGTATTTTTTCAGGATTTATAATATGTACGTTTTAATTTTACTGTTGAAAACAAGAGGGAGCAGTCTATTATTATTTAACAACTAGTACTTTATCCTTATCGAGATTATTTTATTTAAAGTGAAATTTAAACTCAGCAATGAGCCACAAAGAAAGACGTTCGGCTGGACATGATCCGGATCCGTCTACATCTAAGTACTCTGAAGAATCTACCTCATCACGGTCATCAAGTCGATCAAAGCTTTCATCGAGTCCAAAAAGTCCTGCCGATCAACGGATTCAGCTGAAGCTGGCAAGTCCACTTGGTGGCGAACCTTTAACCTTCATGTGGCCTTTACGAGAAGTTTCTGGGTACAGTGAAGGACAAGAAATTTTGGATGTTGTGAGGTGATTTCGTGCATGGTATCGATTGATTCGTGTATCACTGTTAAATTTATCTAGCAAAACTTGGGGAATCGAACTTGATATAAAGTTGTTGTATTTAGTTTTCGGTGATGAAACGGAAAATTGTAGTGTCTATTTTTATGTGAGAGATTTGACAATTTTTGGCATGATATAAAATAAATTATGTCTGTGTAAACTTTGATTGAAATCTTAAGGAACGCCCTCTCATCATTTCCCGAGCTCAACTTCATTTTAAGACAGCATTGTGGATTGAATCTCGACACGATTGATAAACGGGAGTAAGCTGTTTCTACTATTTTTCATAAATGTCGGGCCTTGATTTAATGTATTGCAGTAATCAAACATCAATGTCCATCACTATTTTCTACCATATTCAAGTATAACTTATTAAATGATTTAATAATCTTTCAGCTTCCAACAAATGTCAGCACTATTAGATGCCTTCAACAAGACTTGTCCTGCTTTCACACAGTTGGTCAGTCTTCAGTGTTATGATCTTAATTTTTGAATACATTTTCACTCATTTAAATTATACACAGATTACTTTCTACTTTTTTCCCACAAACTTTTCTGATGGGCACACCTTTTCATCTTTTAGATTAATCATATTTAAAAAGTCTTTACTTCAGTTCTTCTAACTTTGCGACTTCTTAGATTACTTTTCTAATTTTTGTTATAAGATTTCGCTAAAATTATATGTACTACTGGGAACCCCTCGGTAATAAAAGCTTGTTTTGATCTGAAGAAAGTGACATCTTAGTTTTTCTGCTTATAATGCCTTGCACTTAATACTGTCGTTGATGGACAGAAATAGAGAAAAACAAACATTCTCGTTATAAAAGCTTGTGATAAACCTTTAAAGAACGAAACCACAACAATTTTATAGAAAATTTTCGAAACAGTGAGCTTTCTTGCTAATGGAGTGCTGTAATTTTCAGGTTTAAAAATATACTAAAAACTTTTTTTGTAACTGAATATATTTTGTTATAATTTGTTCTTTTGGCAATTCTTAACATTCCGATAACTATTTCAATTCTTAGTGGAAAGGTGCTACAAAACCTGGCGGAGAAATATGGTCTGCTGAAAGAGCAAATCCAGCTTTGTTGAGGCAAATCTGTACTCGAGCATATAATCGTGCAGTGGATAATGTGCATCTTCTGAATAATCATTATAAAGCATTTTCGTCTCAAACGTATGGTGAAACCTCTTTCGATCGAATGCAAATGATCATTCAAGAAATCGTTCCTAAGGTTTTGATTTAATCTTATACAACATATTTCTGCGAAGCATGTGGACTTCATATTTTTTAAGACTTGCTTTAATTTCTATGGTCTTGTGATTTGTCTACCTGAACATATCGCTTATAAAAAATTTTAGACAACATCATTTCAATAAACCAATTTCTCAATATATTTTCGTTTCACTTATAATTGGCAATTTTTTGTCGAAAATATTGTTTAGTATGGAAATACGAAGTAGTTGAGTTATTATTTATTTTTTTGAAATATATATATCATAATTGTGCCTTTTATAAATGCTGCTCAGTTGTTAATTTGCCTCTGTAATTACACGTTCTGCTTATTAAACCTTGTCCCTTGTTAATTATTTGCACAAATAAGGGTCTTTCATATCGTGGCGTTTTAGGATCGAGATGTTTTTGTCGATCTTGGTAGTGGCGTTGGACAGTTAGTAATTCATATGGCTGGTGGTTCTAAAGTACGAAAGGCAGTTGGTATAGAAATCGCTTCGTTACCAAATCACTATGCTCAAAATCTTTCGGTTGAGTTCAAGAAGTATGTCGTATGTTTTCTCAAATGACATTCTGTAAAATCTCAGAGAAATGGTAATAAAGTATTTTCATTTCCTGTTTAATTTCATTTTCCAACGTTATCTTACCTGCAAGTCTATAATTTCGACTAAAGTTTCTCAATTTTCATTTTTTAGGTGGATGAAATGGTATGGCAAAAAATTTAGACCATTTGAATTACATAAAGGAGATTTCTTGGATGATAAGTTTCGTGACCTAATCACTAAGGAAGCCACCATCATACTTATCAATAATTTCGCATTTACAGCAGAATTAGAAACTCGCATAAAAAGGTTTTTTGGATGAAAAAGTTTCTTAACAGTTTTATGCAAAAGGGTGTTGTTGCATTGTTTATAAGACAGCAGAATTTTTAGCTGTGGAATCGAATATGGATGAAAGCTTTGAATTTGAAATGTTGTCATTGATATGGTATTGCAAACAAATATCGAAATGTAAAAATTCATTTCAAAAAAAGTGTTAATGCAACATCAGCAGTGAAGTTGACTCCATATAGAATTAGGTGAAGGATTATAAATACAAATTGCTTTATAGAGAGTTGTTAAGCGAACTCAAAGATGGAACCCGAATCATTTCGACAAAACCTTATGGTTTGCCGAATAGAACAATCACCGACAGACATTTAAATGGTAACTTATTAATTAGAATTATGGTATCTAAAAGCTATAGATAGGAAAGTAGTAATCCTTTCTTACTATTCTGCAAAAAGATTTTTAGAGCATGTTAAAAACTATTTAATGAAACATATGTTTCTAATTGTTAAGGAATATCAATCAGATTTTTATTATTTATTCGTTTATAATTGGTTTTTAACCATTCTTGTAATGTTACTGATTTCTCTTCTTTGAAGGATTTGTTGAATAAACTTTGTCCCTGTAAATCTGGTTTTTCTTAAAGTTAAATGGTGTGCTATCATAGTGAAATTTTACTTTTTTGCAGATATATCAGCAATTTTGGATGTTTTCGAGATGGCACAATGTGAGAATGCTTGTTCTTGGACAAGTAATTATGTCGCATATTATCATCATATTATTAATCGAGCTAAAGTAAATCAAAAATTCAGAATTTTGTCCAATCAAAAAATTGGAATAAAATTGTCAGAGTATTCAAAATTAGTATTGATGTTATCAATTTAGTTACGAGATGTAAAAAATTAGTTTTATTTCATACTATTTGGGAAAAATCCAAATTTAAAAATAATTTGTAGCTTCATAGTTTATGACACCGACAGTGTTTTTACGTTTTGCTGTGTCATTGTAATTAAATGGTTTTTATAGAAAATGGTGAATAAGTAAGTGGTCATATTCCTTATTTTTTTAGTTGGAAAAATACTTTCTCTCGCAGCGAAACCCCACACTGAAACAGAATAATGGTTCTGATAATAGTCGACGATCTTCAACATCAAGCAAAACATCACGAGATAGTTTTCGATGTTGGAGTCGGGAATCTAGTGCATCTCTGCCTAATAATGTTTCTTGTGGTCGGTTTGGCCGTCGTGGTGCCACTCCCATAGTTGATCGAAATCATTCACCTGCATATCATGAGCGAACTCCAACACCGCCAGAGAAGACTAACAAGCTCCCGAATTCAGATGTGTCAGATGAAGATGATTATGCGTATGTTTGGTGTTTTATTTTTAACTGGATTTTATCTAGAACTTTGAATTAATACTTATTAACTTGTATCAAATTTTTAGGAGTTGCAGGATCTGTATAATCGTTTTCTCATGCATTTTAATCAATCTGTGCAGCTCTAGTTTTCTACATACCTTTAGAAACTTTGAGAAACATTAACAATTTACAAATTTTCTTATATGATTTTGTATGTTTCTTCAGGTATACATATAAATTTTCAGGACTGGACCTACTACTCGTCGTAAATGGTTAGAATATTGCTCAACAAAAACTAAGCGTATAGCTACGTCGTCAGCTTCAACAGAAAACGCATCATCAAATCGCTCAAAATGGTTGACACCAGATTATGATTATTCTCCATCTAAGAAAATTCGTAAAACTGGACAACGGGGGCGACCTCGGAAAGCATCTAGTGCCAGCAGAGTTAAGGTTGTTTTTGTTTTCATCATTATAAGATTTTAAAATTCATGAGTTGACAGCTGAATGCAATTCGCAATTGAGAGTCAGCTTTATTAAAAATGTAATATCTCAGAGTAATCTGGATGAAGTCTGATATCTAAAATCGCATAATAGTGGATTATGCATGTATTGGAATTTCAGAATTTAGCGGTGGCAAATCCTGGCGTTGTATTGTAGTAAAGTAGTTTTCACAAAATTTGTAGGGACTTTGTTAAGTTTATCTTTTTATGCATCTTATTGAAGTCAATCATTTTTCAATTGAATGACTTTTTTTTAGCTACAAAAATTTTTATGAGCCATGTTAATTCTCTTATATTTGATTCGAAAGTCCAAAATTTATTAATCATATACATGTCATTTATTACATTGAGATCAAAACATTCACTACTTTATCGGTTATGAATCATTGTGGTAATGAAATTTCGGCTATATTTCAGGCTTCTATAATATGTGAAACTGAGATTAATGATTAATCTTGAGGGGTTTCAGTTCTTATGTCCTTTATAGTTCATAGTTATAAAGTCGTTGTGTGCAGCACAGGATAGAAAACAGTTAACAAATGTCTTACAAATATTTTGAACAGAAAAGAATATATTTTTACTAATAGCTGTTTCACTAATGCTTAAAAATTTCACATATTCACATATTTTGCTATCGCTGATTTGAAGTATTGGTAGAGTTACAGATCAGATCTCATCTAATCTGAGTTCCTGTAACGGTTGGGTTGTGAAACGTTTTCGCTCTATTGATTTTGCTTACTTTTGATTTTACACTTCATTGTGCTTTTTTAAACATTTTGAAAAAAGTATATGACTCTAAGAAGAGCAATGTAATAGGAGCGATGATTCTAGTTTTGAAGAGCAGTGTGTTGATAATTGCAATTAAATGTCGGAATGAAAAATGGAATGAGAAAAATAAGAAGGGAAGTATAATAACTGTAATAAGAAATGAGTTAGAATGTTATTACGTTCATTATGTTTATTGTGGATATTGTGCTTAAGTTTTTTTAAATTATTTAGACTATTATAGTTGGACTGTAATAATGATGATGAAAAAATAGGAGTGATATTGGTATACTTTTCGTTTTTCCTCACGCAAGCGAATAAATTTGTGAATGACTGATTTCGTTGTCAGTGAGTCACCATTATGTGAATAGCTGAAATAAGATAGAATTTATTTGTTGTAAAGCACTGCTACCACTAGTTTTGGTTGGTCTGTATTTAGATACAGAACACCACAAATTAATAATACTGTCTTATTTTCAAATTCTTTCAAATGCCAAATATTTAGACTTTGCTGGAGAAAAACATAAGTTGATATGAATGGGTCATTTAACTGTCAGTTATTTTCAAGCCAATAGGTTGATTCGATCGATGCCATAATTTTACAGACAGAAGTCGAGTTCTTTTTTGATCTGTACTTTTTCAAGTTCTGATTAATTAGAACTGATTGTGAATTTGACAAGTAATCCATTTGTTATTCTTCTCTGTGAAAATGTATGAGGTTATAGTGTAAAAGAATTTTGGCCATCTTTGATTTCGCTCATTTTCACTATGTATTATGCTTTTGTTATTTTTTCTCTTTTTTTTGCACATCAAAGAGATAGGAAGAAGAGAGAGCGAATGTGAATAACACTAAAATCAAAACTTGCATGGTTTGCTCATCTATTTTATGTTGTATATTGCACATATTAAGTGAATAAATGTGCAAGTGAATAAAGAAATAAATTTATTTCTTTGCTTTTTTATCTATATGTTGTAATAAAAAGAAAAAAGCAAGTTCTTCGTGCATTTCAGACTTTTGATGATGATGACACTAGAGAAGCAATCGACTTGATGCATCGTATGACACGTACAGCTATAACACATCCTGCATCACCATCAGTGCATGATTCGTCCTTGTTGTATGTGGCGGATATTAGTTCTTCTCATCCAAAAGAAGTGGGATCAGAGCAGACGATAGACACTGACACCGCTGAAACTGTTGAAAATAAGCCAGAATTTTTGTTGCAACAGAGCAAATATCCAGCACTGAATCAAATGCTTGGTAAGCTAATGGATAAGTCATCAATTAATTACTAATGTTACTTAAATTCTGTTTCATTAGCTAATATATATGATTTTGCACTGCAGTGATTATTGGATAAGATTTATCAAGTTAGGCTAATGATTCTGTTCTCAGTGGCTATTATTAGTTGCTTGAATTTATATGGTGATACTTGTAGATTGTCTTGGTATATTATGGTTTTTTCCTCTTCAGATACTTTGATCATTGTAACATAAAAGAAAAAGCGGTTACTGTTTTATAAATTTCATTTAGAAATAATGACCCAACTGCAAAATATAATCTTTTATCAGCTATCGGCCTCATATTGCCGAGATTAACTAAAACTGTATTATAATTTCATAAAACTGGACAACTGCAGATGTCGAGAACACTTTAGCAGTCTTTTATTAGATTTGAAATATTATAGAATCGATGCGTATTATGTTTGAGGCACAGCTTGAAAAGATGAAGACAGATACTTTTACAGATGATATCAAAACGCAGATTGAGCTTCAGAAGGTATGAAATATGAAGATATGAAATATTTCATGGGAATAATATCATCACAATATGTAAACTCTCTGTGCTATGGATATAAAATGAATAGTAATAACTAGACATGTTTTTTGATTTCGATTACTTTAGTCCTATCGGGCGCTGCTACGTTCTCGAATTGAAGCAATAACTAAGCAAATAACAAATTTACGAACATCTGGAATGAACTATTTTTATACTCGTATTGAAGAATTGGGTATTGAAGCATCAACTCCAAGTTTGTTGTTGGAAAATGCTAAAGAAATTGTGGCACATCATAAGAAAATTACGGTTAGTTTTTCTCATACATTGCTTTATATTTAGTTTGAGTGGAAAATTAGTGAACAGTAGTTTTCAATCTTCCTAAAAACAAATAAAACTTGAAATAAATGAGTTTAAGATGATTTTTCTTGTGAATTGAAGATTCGGTTTGAGATGTTACTATTGTGGGGTTTTCCATTCCTTTGTGGTTTGAAAATTTAGTTCCATATAAAAATGGAACTGAAGAAAAGCGAAATTGTTTGCATTTAGATATTTTTTAAAAAGTTTGGTATCGATGCCGTTAATTGGAAAAACCAAAGTTTGATGAAAGAAAGACCTATACATTGCTGTCATGAGAAGTAGGAATAAAGAAAATAAAAAATAACGAAAGATGGTAAGGTAAAATATTAAGCAAAATTAGTCAGTAATTAGTTCACACGTTAAAAACATGTATTTAGAGCTTTTGTTAGCTTGATTTTTCTTAAATATGTGTATAACAGTAAAGTTTTGTAATATTGTGTTTTATAGGCAGAATGTGCAGCTTTAGAAAGTGAAATAACTGCGTTAGAAATGTCGAATCAGCAACTAGAAATGAAAGTACGCAGACGTGAAGAACAGGAATGTGCTAAAAATGCGAGCACTACAACTGTATCTCTCGCGAATAGTAGTAGTCACTTGTTAAACTCTTTTTGTGGTTCGAATCCAATGGCACTTGCTGAAAACCTTCAAGTTTTGACTGCACAGAACAAAAATTTATTAGTCCGTGTAGCACAACTTACCGATAAGGTCATATTAATAATCTCTTTTATAGCCTTATAATAGAATATGTAGGAAATTTAATTCTGTATGTAATGAATGGAGCATGTTATTAACCATTATTAATTTCTTCGCTATATATCTTATTAAATTTAAAACATGGATAAATTCATGATTTTTCTCAGATTTTGTTGTCAGAATTAGAATAATTTAGAACGATTTAAATGGTAATGCAGCAGCAGATGGTAACTTTGTAGTTGGTACACAAGATGGACTGCTCTCACCAAAGCCTGATAATGCTGTATTGTCATTTTCATCTACTCCAGGTAATGAAATTAAATGAAGCAGGTGAGAGTAAGAACTACCAGTCATCTTGGAAAACTACTAAGTTACTGTAATATTTTAGTTCCGATAGTGTTACATACATGTAGGAAGTTGAAGTCGACAATACGTTTTTATAGGCGGTTTTGGGCTGCATTCTTCCCATACAACATTAACTTCGCTTTCTGCTGGGTCTTCACCACTGAAACGTACACGGCAACGACAAATCCGTAACGGTATTATGAGCAAAAAACCGCTTTCAGGTTCTAACAAACAACCTAATGACCCTAAAGAAGACGAGGAAATGGAGCGGAGGATTCAAGATATTGTAGCTAAAGCCTTAGAAGTAAAATTTCTTTGGTATTAATGTACTATGTATTTGCTCTTATTTTAGTCCCAACCAACTATTAATATTGTTGCTTTAAGAGAAAGCACGAAGTAAATTGGTGTTTTCTGCTAAGTTGCTGAAAAATTGTATGAAGTAATGTTTTACGAAATTAAATACAGCTGGTGAGATTAAGAACTACCAGTATTTATAAGCTTTTGGTTGGAAAATGTTGTTCGTTACTTCATAACAAAATAATACGCTCCAGGTGGATTGTGCTGCAAAGTGCGCTGAGAAAGAGCGACGAGCACGAGGAGAAAAGCGTAAAGAAAAAGTTGTGCTTCCCGGCTCGTTTCGTTCAGCGACGGATAATGCGGCAGCTTCGGTAACTGTTGTGCCATCTCCTGACAAACAGTCTGTACTTTCTTGTATTTCTTCTGTAGTGGCCACTACTGAAATGAATGGTGCCGAAAGCGATATGCGGATTCCATGCCCTGCTTCTTATTTGTTGGCAAAAAATATTGAATCTGCTGCTGGTAGCGTCAGGTCTTCTTTTGATGATTGAAGACTCGTTATCTGTCTGTGATACTGCACTTAAACATGGATTTGCGAGATTTGAGCTACAAAAATGCCAGTGGAATTATAATTTTTAAGCTTATTACATTTTTTTTTCTTTTTTTACTTGATATAATGTCATAAATGCATATTAGGGAATGTTGCTTTCATAAAACAATTTTTTCGCATTTCTTTTTTTAAAAACATTAAAAATTATACTGACCTTAAGTGGAAAGTGAAAATTGTTTCAGAATGTGTCGGAATAAGTTTTTCAAGCTCAAGTCTTTTATTCTGCAGCTCCTTCACTACCGCTTTCGTATTTTGAGTTATTTTATCTTGTCAACTGAGCTTGACTTTCTTTTTTACTGTTCTTTGGTATTCTGAAAAACATAAGTACTAGTCATTTTGTCTTTCTTAAATTTCGAATTACTACGCTCAGGTCTTCTTTTTAGCTTATTTAATTGGGTTTTAATCTTAGTGGCAGTATTATTGAAATCAACCAGTCTTTCAGAAACCACGCTCTCTCTAAAACTTTCCTGACTTGAAAGCTTCTGATCACTGCCTTTTTACAATATTTTGTACATAAAATGAATTGAACCTTTCTAAGCATTCATGTGTGTGTTAAATTTTTAACATATATATAATTGTTTATTCTGTGGTATTTAGGGTAGTGTATGTTCTGGGTTTCAGTTTATGCTCTTCAGTTCAAATTACAGTCAAAGCGAGTACTATGTGTTGAAATGGTGAATAGGTGTTATTTTTAATTGATATTTTCCAGTGTTAGATTTATTATTACAATTATTTCGATTTTATGCAATGCTAACAGTTTGGATAATAATTTCTGTTATACTGAATACGTTAGTAGTTCGGTATCATTTCTCAGGAGAATAAAAACTAATCATTATTATTTATGTGAGCAGCAAAGAGTACAAGCAAAATAAATTCATGCCGTTGGAAATGACCATATGTAATTTGCTAACTATTTCATTGAAAGAATCATATTGCTTGCTCCTCATTAATTCTAATTTTTAATTTTTAAGTGTAGTTGAAAACAATGAATAAGAGTTGGTAACAAAGAGAAGTAATCTAGACTTCTGCAAGTCATGCTTGAGATACATTTAAGATCGAGTAAGCTTTAAAGTAGCATTTGTTCTTGACTTTATTTGGCAGAAATGCTAACTGTAATGGGTTTGAGATATGAAGACAATTCTTTAGTAGGGTATTATTGATTTGAGATACATAGAAGTATTATTTGCTATTTATATTCCTTGTCTGGTCTGTGTTCCAGGAACTCGTTCCAATTATATGTTTTGTGGTATGTGCCTTAAATGCAGAAGAAATGTATAAGAGTGGTTGAAAAGTGGTAGCTTTTTTGATTTTGATGTAACAGACTCTCGCAAGTAAAAAGAGCCTTGGGAATGATATAATAACAGTTGTTAGTCGAAAGTACAGTCTGTATTCATGGTTTCTTAGATTTTTTTTGTTTTAATTGCTTTCGGGATATTCATGCTTTCTGTCAGAAACGTATCAGGGTTTCAACCTGATTGGAATTCTGCAAAAACCTTGATAACGCTTCTAGCAAGCAGGTACCAAGTCTAACTATAGATCTGCCATGTCGTTACACTTTCGTCTTTGAAAAATCATAATTCAGTCATAGTCATTTTGATAATACTGAAAGGTAACTGAAGTAGATTTGGACATATGAAATGGAAAATATTTACTTTAGGTGGACCAGAATGATCGCATGGATGTGAAGCGGTGAACATGTAAATGTTTTGTGTATTAAAACTATATTGTAGCTTAATTACAATAAATGGATTAGCCTGTATTGAAATAGGCACGATTAGGAATATACTGGAACGATCAATAACTAGCAATTACATATGAATTGCATTTGGTCCACAACATTTTCATAGTCTGTTGCATGTACCATTTATTGACCGTTAAAACACCTGCAGCATCTAATTGGGTTTCAGAAGCTCGATTGTCTTCCGTTGGTATCTGCATTTCTTTTGAATGATGGCTAATTGTATTTTTAGTTTCGTTAGATAAACAATGTTGGCAGTTTTTTAAATACAGATGGAAAGCGTTTTTTCAGTGACTTTTCTATGAAAATGAACGATTGAAAATGTGGCAGAACCAATTTGTTCAATCATTACTCTTATTAAATGGTTTTGTTTTTGACTCAAATTTAGGTTGTGCAATTTTAATTTCATTTTAAATATGTCATTTTTACATAGGTCCGAGTTTCTCTCTCCTCTCTATTTTTCCCACTTGGTGTGCTTATCGTTTCTAGTCACTCTTTCATATTATGTTATCCGATTGTTTCATCGCTCTGAATTACTCCAAATTGAATAATATTTATCTTTGTCAAGTTTCTAGTCAGTACTCTCATTTTGCTATCACTTTGAGAATTTGTTAAGTTTCATCGTAGTTGAACATCATCAGATTGAGTTTGTTCGCCGTACCGTTGATTTTGTCATTATTTCAGATTCTGTTCAAATTCATTATTACTATGCAAGCAGTCCTAGTGTTTACATTACCACCATTATTATTGCTTATTGTAGTAGTGCTGCAATTAGATTTCACTTAAAAACTTTGTTTTAGTTTTTTTCTGATGGAAAAATTATCTCCAATTTTCTTCTTCAAATTCAAGGTATATTAAGTTTCTCTGCAATGCTCTGTTAGCAATGGACATAGGCACTAATGAACTCACTCGTCCTTTTCGGATTCCTCGACGAAGAGTTGAAAGCAGTGGAGCCAATTCCATATCACCTGATAAGGTAAAGGTGGTCTTTTGCATACTTTTGCTTTAAAGTTTATTCGTATTATAGATAGCGGAAGTTACGAACCTTGCCATAAACTTTGTGTGTAAATTGAATTTGAAATAAATTTCTGTAACTCGGAATCCATAATTTTTGTATGATTTTCATTTAAGTCAGTTAATAATACATGATTATCAAATAAATATAAGTTGCAAGTCAAGTAATAAAGTATGTAGTCATTTGAATTAATTACCTCCCTATATTTAACAATATCGAAAGAACTTCTCATTTCAACAGTTTCCATTATTTGTTATCTGGGAAATTATTATCAAATTTCCGGAAATACTGCTAATATTTATGCTCATCATATAGTATATCATGTAGTGTATGCTGAGCATAAATATTAGCAGTATTTCTCGAGTTTGTATAGGTATACAAGTTTGAATTTGTAGTTTTAAGTCAATCCCATATACTTATAATTTAATTTTTATTATTAAAAATTAATAATTCAAATTTATATAATAATGCTAAGTAAAAGATTCTGTTCAGACTAAACGACGTCGATTAGGTAATGAATCAGATTCTCGTTCTCCACTTGCTTCAACATCTTCAGCTCGCAGGCACGATTCAGCATTTTCTAGTCGCATCATACCACCAACTAAAAAAAAGTTTGTTTGGCTCAGTTACTAAAATTTTTATACAATCGAAATCATAATAGTATTTCTGTTCCATTTTAAACATGATGTTTACATCAACTATATTATTTAATAAAATTATGTCTCTGAATAATAAAAATTTCTGTCATCAAATGTAGAAAAATTAAAAGTCAATGTTTTGTCGAAGTTTTCTTCACAATTTTTTAAAGCTTTTCTCATCAGAATAACTTTTTAGACCTGCTCAAGATCATCAGCAAAATCCTTCTTATCCAAGGAAATCGAAGCCTGGCGAACTTTTTGATAGAATTTTAGATTCTATGGTAAATCCTCCGAAGGAACGAAAAAAAGGCACTTGTAAGGGCTTCCACATGTCTTATGTACTTAGTATAATATTTTAAAGAAAAAATTTGTTTTCTATATTTTGATACTCTATATATATTGCCTTTTTTAATAATATTTCATTTTTTATCCTTTTTCTGGATTAGTAAATTAGTTCTTTGCAATCCTCCTTGAATTATTGTAGTTTTCTATAAGAATACAACAACATTTCCTTAAGCAGATGCATGAATTTTTATCTTTTCTTTAAATTCGTTGTGGTGCATGATTTATTTATAATTTCGTGTTTTAGACACAATTTAGTATTTGTTATAAGAGATGGTTAAAACTTTTTCATCTGTTGTGGATTTTTTCTTGTTTTTCAGCTCAGGATGATGGTGAACCAGGTCCAAGCAATATACCAACCACAGCTAACGCCAATTCATCTAAAAAGCCTGTTTCTGGACTTACACGCGAAGATTTGGAACGCCATCAAAATGACAATTCAGCATGTTATGCTTTTATGCAGAGAGAAGGATTAATGGAACGATTACTTGGACATAAGATGCTCACAGGACGTGTTGATTCCCATGTTGTTCTTGGGTTCTTACCTTTCGATCCCAAAGATACCTTGCCATGCAAAAATCACAAAAATGTTAGTAGAATGGTTTTTTCAAGTCATGTTTAAAGTACATTCATTATACATTTGTGTGAGTGCTTTAGCATAAATCATATTAATTTCTTAATTGTCTTGTTGTGTGAAGCAAATTTAATTTTGTGGAAATTTGTGACATTTGGTTGAGCAAAAAATCTTTTTTCATGTCTTGGATATGATTTTGAACTTAAGTATTAAATACGAATGTGAACTTATTTCATGATTTTATTTTAGTCGTGCAGTAAAGGAGAGGATTTTTCTTCAAATTGTGATCCACAACCAAATACCTTTATAAATGAAGAAAGGCGAGGACCCAAAACACCTCCTGGTTCACCAGGGCATGATGCAGATTCATCAATGCTTTCATCTCGAGGAGTTGGCTCGGCCTCACCTTCAAGTCCTCCTCCTCCGCCTCCTGCTGACGAAACAGTTCTTCCTTCTTCAAATGTAAAGTCTTTTTCTTAATAAATTTACGACTGTGTATAACTTTAGTTAGATTACGTTTTGCAAAAAGACATTTTTTTATTTTCAATTTATGTAAATTAGACGATAGTGTTTTTAGTGGAATGAAATTGAATGACTTTGTTAATGTATTTTAGGATGCTAAGATCAAAGAAAATGAAACTTCTGATTTAATAGCTGAAATGGCAGAACTTACCAAGCTTCCACATAGTCAATTAGCTGAATGTTTGGGAGAGGAGCTGCAAAATGCAATGAAACAGGTTTGACAACATACAAGAGTGAAATTTTTTTTAAATAATCATTTCGCGCGAGACTCTTGACACTCTTTTGATATAAGAAGACTGCACAAATTTCTACAGCTATAAATATTTTCATTTGAATTTTCCTAGAAATGTAAATGATATTTGTATAGGTCGATCATAAGGTGTTGCTTGAAACGCTCAAAGATGCGTTATTAAAAGTTGGCAAGAAAAGTGATGAAGAAAAGGATGGGTATTATTTGTTTTCATACAATTTATTTCTTGAATAACTATTTTGAAAAAAGTCACTTTGCAAATTTTTATAGGCATTAATTTTTTTTTTAATTGCAGACAGCAAGTTTTGAAAGACGACATACATTTGCACACTGTAGAAATGGATCTAGAAAGTAATAAAAGTAGCATTGTAAATAATATCGTGCTACCCCCTCCACCTCCTGCACCTCGAACACCGCCTTCATCTCTGGTACCATCCTTACCAATGGGTATATCTTCTGCTACAGTGCCAATGGCACCCAGTATTTTACCAACACCTCCCCTGCCTCCATTAGTAATGCTTCATCCCAATGCGGGTTCTCAGGTGCTTGTCAATGTATCGGAAGCAGTAAATGCCTCCAGCATATATCCATACTTTCCACCACCACCTCCTCAACAACTTACTAGCGCTCCAAATAAGAAGTCATCTGCGATTGCTGTTCCTCAGACGCCTCCTGCTGCATCTCTCATGTTTCCTGCTGTACCCTATGTTGGAAATTCTTCCTTGGCAGTATCACCTGTTCAGTTTGTACCACATTCATCAACAACAACACCTCAATCTGCGGGTTTGGATTTATTCTCTTTCATTTCCAATAACAACAACTTCAGTTTGCATAGATTTAAAGTTATATTACTGTAAATTTCAGGGATACTGAATGCATTCCAAAGTATTCCCACACCTTCTTCCTATCCGTCATCATACACCGATCTTACTCCTCCATTTCCAGTTTATCCTGGTTCTTCGTCTCAGACAGTTCCATCTAGTACAACAGCATTCCTTTCTGGTAATCAATATCTACTTGGGACACCTGCAGCGGAAAATCACTACACTTCATCTGCACATGTTGCTGGTAATGATAATTCAAAGCCAAAGCTGAATAAACATTTAGACGGTGGACCGCCACCGCCTACAGTACTGCATCCTTATGCTGGCGCAACTAATTACAATATTACTAATGTATCCGTTCCCCCATATTCGTTGCCCACCGTCTCCATTACAGCCACTACAGCGAGTAACTCATTTATACCTGCAACGAATTCGGTTGTGCATCCAGAGCAGATATCAAACCATGTTCCTATGCAAGATACATCATTTGAATGTGGGTCACGACAACAAACTCATATGAATGATTTCTGTGTTGCAAATAGTAAATGCAGCTTTCCGGATCTGAAAACACCAACTCAGCAATACCAAAATGTTTCGACCTATCAAACAAAAAGTTACCCAGTGCCTCTATTTCCCCACCATCAGAAGCAGCAACAAAATCTGGTCCTCCCAGAAACCTCATCGAGTTCTTTCGAGAAAAATAGTGTTACTGGAAGTTTTAGTGCACAACAACAGCAACAAACACAGCAGGAAGAAAAACTTTTTTCCTCTAATTTTTTGCGACCAGTGTCTACTCAACATCAAACAGCTGTGGAATCTGTATCTACGTCGAGCAGTGCGCCTTTTAACGGCAATGAGGCTGTACTAAGTGTGTCGAGGTTTATTCCATCTGGTACCTTGAAAGCAGATTGTGGTGCTAATGATGCGCCTGTGGTGTCTAGTTTCAGTTCTGAGCGTCTGTCAACTGGCAGAAGTGTAAAGTCCTCTCCACTAAATTTCAGTAATGCGAAGTCATCAGAAGAACCAGTTTCTGTTCCTTCCACGCAGAATGTCATTAAAACACTGCTTTCCGCTTTGTCTATTCCACAAAGTAGTGAAACTAACGTGGGCAGTACTAGCAGTATTGCTCCTAATAATTCTTCTTTAGTACCTGAGGCAAGTGATGATGGTCAGGAAGTTGATTTTTGTTGGCCTCCAGCGAATATGGATAGTAGCTGGTCTCAGGAGTCTGATTCTGCTGCATCTGAAATGTGCAGTAAATCGGCTGTACCACCATTGTCCTCATTATCAGCACAGGTTTCAAGTGCTCCGCGAATGACTTTTTTCAATCAGACGGTAATAATTATGCATTTTTTTTGTGTTTATTTATAATCAGGAGGTAGTAATGAAATACAAGGAATTTGTTTCAATGATCGTTTGGCTAAATAAATTGGAATATTCTTTTAGGCATCTACAAATTCAGTGGCACATCTTCGTGCTGGAACATCCGTTGTTCGACTTCGTCAACCTTTCCTTCCACCTATCTTAAATAGAATGCCTTTGAATAGGTTACCTAGAGTGCCACCAGGATCATCACCTATTTCAGGGCAATCATTAGCTCTGTTTCGAGCGGGATCATCTTTCAGAACTTCGGGACCTTCATCTCGATCTTCTTTATCGGTCCTACCATTAAGACCGCGAATTCATCCACCTTTTTTTGCAAGACGACCACCATTTCCACCTAGACCTCCTCCATCAGCAATGCGAATACCGCGACCATCTTTTCCACGATAGCATGCTTGTAAGTCATACTTTTTTTATTTGTTATATATCTTTTTGTACGCTAGTCTTAACAAGTTCTCTATGAACTAAAGAATGTAAGGGGTATTTATTTTATTTTCTGCATGCTCAGTTTTAATCGACTTGCTATAAATAACCTCTACTTTTTTTATTCTGATCTCCGAAAGTTCCTTTCATATGTTTTTTACAGCATTATAGCAGTAATTTGTTAAAGTATCAGTGTAAAAGGCGCCGCGGAAACAGTATTATTAAAGGTGACACAAGCTGCATAACTTTGGGTAATAAAGTACAATAATTTAATGGTCCTTTATGAACGTTCTCTTTCATGAATATGTTAAAATCGGCTTCTGTTTGCGTCATCAATCGCAGATATAAAAGCAGTTGAAAGCCTGAAGGGTAATAGTAATTTATTTACTCATTTGCTGATTCTTTCGACAATTTGGTCTTTTCCAGAGATGTTTGCTAGGAAGGTGGCACAGAAGTCAAAGGATTGAATGTTGCTCACACTAAATTTATCTTGCAAAACGCGCAAAATGATCACCAAAAAAACTTAATTTATCTATATGTCTTCTGAGTTCGTGCTTTTCCTCAAAAAGTATGTGAAAATTTTTTTGTTGTTTGTATTATTAGCAATCTCAATTTGTTATGCTTGCAGCGGGTTACCTTTAGCTTGATCATGCTATTTTGTGTCGGTTTGGTTTTTTTTGACGAATCAGTATCAAAATTTGCATTTGTCTTGTAAGTGCAAATGTTTTTACAAACCCTTAAATTTACGGACCATTATTTTCTCTAAAAAGTGGAAATGTCTCACTTTTTTCCAAAGTTCTCAATAATCAGCTTATGTTTTTATATGCAAACCATTTCAAGGCGATAAATTCTCGAAGTACAGACATAAATAGTAATATTTCAGAACTTTTGTTGCTTCAACTTCATCCTATTTGAATTACTCATATCTCAAAAAGGCTGTTTTTTTCTCATTATTTTAGGGTTCAAATTTACTGCATTAAAAAATGAGTCTTTAATATTTTTGTAAGCATCATGAGTTTAAAATTTTTTGTGGGAAAGTGAAGGTTTTCCATTTCTTGTTTTTGAAGTCATTTAAATTCCCCAGCTTTTCATCTATTGATATGTTTTGGGCTGCTTCCGTTACTTTTTTTCAAGTCTTTAATCTAAGCTGTGGTAATGAATAAAGAAGTAAAAAATTTTTTTCAGTTCATTCCTTTCATATCAAATTAAATTCTGCTGATAACTATCACAGCAGTCATTCATGCAAGTTTTTGATAAGCTTATTAAGGAAATATTTAAAAAGTTTTCAAGTGCTTGCAGAGTAATAATCATACCATCACTTCTTTTTCAAGTTATATTTTCTTGTTTTGTTTTTAGAAGCTCCAAAATCTCCGAGCTCTTTAAGCGTCTTCGATAACTACTTAAATCTTAAATTACATTTTAGTGCTAAGCGATTCTGGAGCTTCCTACTTTTTTACGTATAACGTTATTATCGTCTTCGGTGTAAGGTGCTTCTTTGTTGTCGTCTTGTTATTTTGTGACCTTGAAATTAAGGATAATCAAATTTTATATTTCATAGTTAATCTTCATTTTGCTGAAGTTTCATTTTTTGACAGACATGGAAAATATTTAAATATCCTGGTACATTTTCAATAAGTGTATTTTTGTTTATAAATAAACAAGAAAATTTCGATTTGGCTTGTATCGTTTGTAATATTTTATTGTTCGGTAACTCCTGAAAAGTGCAAGTTTTTTTCATTTCCCTAGCACAGACGCGCGGTTCTGATTTTCCGTTTTACATTTCATCTTTCAAAGCCGTTGTTTGATTTTATTGTGCATTTCTCACATGTACCACATAGTACTGAATAACGTAAAAGGAATTTAGGAACGAAGTTTATTTTGATTAATTGATTACAGGTTACATTTTACAGATGTTTTTTACTGCCTGTCTATGAATTAAATGAAATCTTAAAAATTTGCGGCTGAATCAGTTCTTTTCATTGAAAGAAAAAGTAATAATAATTTCTTTATATGTATTTGACTAGGGAATGCAAAGCTTTTACTTTTGATAAAGTAGTAAAATTGTTTGACAAATAAAATTTTATTGACAAATTAAACAGTTTGGTAATACGGGTATTTTCTTTGAAATTTCTGTTTAGCAGTTTGCAAAATAAGCTTTTTGTCATGCATTCCCTTTTTCTGATGAGATATTATTTTGAGTAAAAATGTGGTTTGAGTTACGTTTGGATTCCATATCCCTCTGCAGTTTCTGCATCATTTTATGCTGACGTTAACAAAGATAACTTTACATGAGTTATAAATCTCTGGTACGGTTAATGTGCAGGACCTTCTTTTCTCCTTTTTTTGATTATGTGGAGTAGATGATTTTGTTGAATCAGTTTATTCTGAGATTTCCATCATATCAAAGATGAAGTCGAAGTGCAGAATAAAATATTTTTTTATTGTCGGTAAAATGGTTTTCAATACTAATAAGTCACTGCTTTATTAGAAATGGCAACCATCTTACTTAATTTCAATTGCCCTACTATGAATTAGAATATCGGTTTTTGATCAAATACAAAATTTATTGCTTTTACTAACGCTGTTTGAGAGTTTAACCGCTTAGCAAGTATGTGCCAAATAGTGCTATAATTGACTCACAGTTTCTGGTTTGCCATATAGAAAGTTATTCAACAACGGTTATTACTTAATCCAATTCTTAAATGTCTGAAACTGCTAGCATTTAAAACATCATGTAGTGAAATCTTTTATTTCAGCTTGATTATATGCCACGTAGTGTCAATTCACTCTTAGCAGATACAGAACATGCAAATTAGACTCATCCCTCGAGAGTGCGTTTTTGTTTTGTTTTGGGAAATTGGAGAATTTAACTATGAAGAGTGAATTAATAATCATACAGTTTGCGCTATTTTTAAATCGCATACACACATTTAAGCAGTTCAGTTGTAACAGATGTATTTTGTAATGAAAAAATTTGCTTTATCAAAGAGAACTACATAGGAACAAGTTTGTAGACTTTCCATTACTGAGAAATTAATACAAGATTGGATTGAATCTTTTCAAGAATTAGTTATAGCAGTAAGTCGTGGTCATTTAGGAATGGTATCGCAGAATGGGCAATGATCGAATTACAGGGGACGCTGGAGCCACCTGGTATGCTTTCTGGACAACATATTGGTAAACTTGCATGGAATAATAATAAGGTAGTTGTTGACATACTTTACTTCTCCTGCGCTTCTTATTAATATGTTAACTGTTCATATCTTGAGTTTCTTTTTTTATTATCTTGAGCAGTAGGAAATTTGTTAGAAATTATGAGGAGAAGGAGATATGAGGTGAAAGAATTCTGAGCAAGTGTACAGCGAGCCAGTTTATTTGTGTTTATATTTGATGTAAGCATTTTATATAATGACTGTTTCCTTTTTTCTCACTGAAAGTTTTTTGTCTTGATATTATTTGGGATGTCTCTTTTCTTGTTTCAATAGACTCAGAGCACCAGTCAGTGCACTTTCAAAAAGGATAATTGTTTCTCTAATTCTTGAAAAAAGAAAATTTGAAAAATCTATAGTAGTTCCTTGAAACAAATTTGGTAGACTTTGTACTAAGAGAAAATTGTATGCTCTGAAACAGAAATGGTAGTAGACCATTTTTGTTGAAGATTACTTTCAGTAACACACATTAGGATGGCCAGATACTAAATGATACTGGCAAGTCATGTAATGAAATGCATTTAATAGTGCTTTGTCATGAAACCTAACTTACGATCTTAAAACTTGTCGCTTATATGAATCAAATATTCATATAGACCATCTGTTAGGTTCAAGTTCTTATGGAGAAAAAGTGGTTCATTAACTGACTTCATTTAAAGTGTGCAAATATGCACTAAAAGATGGGACGCATTTTGTGATTTCAAGATCTATAATATTTGTAGTAATATTTCGAAGATCGTATCTTTTTTAGGCATTGCTTCACATTGGCCATCATATTATGGAAGGAAAAGAAGTGAAGTTAGAGAACCCATTTCTTGTGCTTGTTCGAAATACTGAAGAACGTACAAATGTACAAGTTGCCGCAATAATTCGCAAGAAAGTTCAGTTCCGTAATCGCCCAATACCTATTTGAATTACATTCATACTTTTACTTAACTTCCAACCTGATATATAATGTGACCTGGCGTTTTCATTCCCATACTTGTGTAAAAGCACATTACTGCTTATAAAAAGTAGCACGGCGATGTACACTTAGCGACGCTTGTCATTTGGTCACAAAAAATATGCAAGAATTAGTCTACAATTTAAAAGCAGTCACCAAAACATAGTTGCTACGCGCTCAGAATTTGAAACAATTTTTACCATTTTAAAAGCGTTTTCTCTCTACATCAGAACATTGCAGAAAATTTTATAGAAAAGCAATTACAATGCGAAACAATAATTCGACTTTAGTCATACACTTCCAAAGATGGATTGTACGAGGTAAAGCTAAAATGCGGTTCCAACCCACAAATCTCACTATACGTACAAAATGATTTATAAACCTGTCTCTACTTATTTGCAGAATAACTGATGTGGTTCCGATACATAAGAAATACAGAAATGAATTCAGCACATTTACCGCAAATCATTAAAGATTTGAAATGAAAGCAAACATCCTGCACTTAATTGCAGTGAAGTGTCAAATATGGCAATAAGTATAAAAATTACGGCCATTCCTAAGAGACATATTTCTGAAATGACAATCTTCGGAACTCCATCACTACCAAGAAAAAATTAAGACTCAAAAATTTGTACAATTCATATTTGAAATAGATAATAATTATATCACATATCGAGTCGAACTTCATTTCATCATGTTCACAGCTAGCTGTGATATCATTCGTGCTCTTCGCTTCCAGTTACTGCTTGCATTTGCTCCAATAAAAGCTAAAACGCTTTACTATGAAATCAACTGAATTTTATTCACATTTGGCAGTTAATAATAATATCAAGCAGAAAAGACAGGAATACTGAATTTCAATATAACACTGGAGCAGCTTATTCCAACATGCTCAAGAGATATGGACTTAGTTTCACATTCAAAATAACATTCAAATAAATCGATTTTAACTAGAATCTAACAAATATTGCTTCACCTGTCAACGAAGTCTGCAAACGATCTATGACATGACGCAAACCATCAACAATAACAGGATCTTTAGGGTGTAGTGCAATCAATACATTCTCGATATATCTGCATATAAAGAAATGCTGGATTCACAAATCAAACTATTTTATAATAAGGAAACAGCATAGCACACAAATAAGTTATAATAAAGCCCAAATCATATTACTCAGCAAATATTAATGAAGAAATTTACGACAGACTAATTAATTAAAATTCGAAAATCTTAAAATGGAAATCGAATTGTAACAAAAGTTTTATGAGTTACACAAGCATAACCAAAAATTCGAATCAGAACTATTCAATATAAAACATGCCTGAACTTGAGGTCTGTTTCCCCTTCCAATTTCGATGCCAGATGATTCAAAAGACGAAGTAAGGTGATCTGTGAAAGCGGATGGTCCATCGTATTGATTGAATCTGCATCGAATTTCTTGCAAATAAACATCACAGCTTCAAAGTCATTCGCCATTAACGCCTGTATAAAATCGAAAGTTTCAAAAATATTAGATATAACAGAAATTAAGGAAGAGTACTGGGTTTGCATCAAATTTTAAAAAATATTTCGGTCATGTTCCAATTCATACTCAAATCCAAACTTAGTACAGTGCAAAGTGAGAATATACATAAGCAAGGTGAAAGAACAAAAGAATTGATCATGCTACACAACTTTAATGACTTTTTGCAACTAGAACATTTGCATACTTCAAAAAAACTTTTTAATCGGAGGCAAACTCACCGATCCCTAACCAGCCTTCATTAAAACCAATAATGAAAGTACTTAAATTTTTGAATTAATGCTTACACGAAATGTCTGTAAAATTTTAATTGATTTAACGGGAAAAAACTCTTAGATTCGAAGTAATGTATCATAATTTTAATTCATCACTGAATTAAAATAGAAAAACAGTTTTCGTTTAAACAGTCCTAATGTTAATAAAAATTAAAAAATTATTAATCGAGTGCAAACTAACTGACCTTGTCAAATGCTTCTTCGACGCGATGGTTCTCAATAAGATTCATAAGAGTTGTCCGGTCGAAAGGAACTCCAACTGAATCACTAATGACGATATGAGCAGGTTTCAAGGTATTGACACACAAAGCATGCACTTGCTGCATGTACTGTTCAAGACCAGTTCGGAAGGTTTCATTAAGCTGACGAAAAAGCGATACACAAACATCCTGTATTACTGGAATCACTGCACTCACCAACGTTTCTTTGATATTACTGGCTATTTCTTTACGAATAGCTTGAGCATCGATCGCTTGTTGTTGTTGTTGTTGTTGTTGCTGCTGCTGCAAAATCTATTAATGATAGCATCATTAAATCCTCATTTTTTTTAAATATAATGAATGGAATAGCAGATAAAAAAAATTCCGAGATTTAACTAAAACTTTTGGGTTTTTAGCAAACGTCGCTAAGATATTTTATTCGATTTCATTCTAATATCTATCTGGTATATACACTACGTTAATAATAATAAAATAATTAAAATGAACTCCAAAATTATCGCCTGCCGCTGAACGAAGGTCTTGAAGCATGTTATCTACTTTCGCATTCAATGATGATTGCATTGCTTCCAATATTGATTTCTTATTTTCGTTAATCAATAATTCTAGTCTTGATAGAAGCCTATCATCACATGAAACAATCTCTTCCCCTAAAAAAGTCGTATTCATTGTCAACAGATAGATGTTGAAAACTCTGATAATCTCTATTAATAGACATAGAATGATTTCAGCAGGGCTGAAATATTCCACGCAGATTATCTTATAGTTCAGTGTCATTTACATTAAACTTGAAACTTGACTACAGAAACATCAAAAATAAGAACTGATTCCCCGACTTTTTTAACGAACAAAACAAAAATATGAAGGAATTCTCTACAACCATTTTGATATGAAGATTTTGGCGCCAGCTCAGCACGTAGTCAAGAAAAAACGTTTTTCTAAGAAAAAAACAGCAATATGTTTTTTGACTTAACTCTAAAGCAGTAAAGTCAAAAAACACATCTAATTTACTCTTAAAAAAATCAATTCTAAATCTTTTCCAATTTAACTTTCCATTTTGACTAAGTAAAACAAATTGTAAATATAAAAATATAATTGTCGCTGCACTTAATAGGCAATTGGTTTAGAAAAAGATTTTTCGAAACACAATCTCAAAAAATTAAGAGAAGCCGAAAAGTAGACAAAAAAGTCGGATACAACGAGCAACACTGTAAAAAGATCTGGATGTAACAAAATCTTTGAAAACCATTATGACTACTGCATACATCTAAGTTAATGCAGATGCTAACACTTACGTAACTGATGAAAATGAGAATCTGTACGATGTCTCTCGTCCTCAAATCGTTTTCCAAATTCTTCTGCCTGTTTTTCTACCTTTGTACTTAAATTTTCCCAGTGACGACATAAAAAATCCAAATGATTTCGATCTTGAGTTTCATTTTCTACTTTATCACTACTTGTCACATCATTTCTGAACAATATTTAGTCGATGAGAATAAGTTCATTTAAGAATTGCAGTTAATAACACAAAAACAGTGCCGGTTGACGCTGACTTTTTCACACAAGAGAAAAGAAAATATGCCAGAAAACACTTAATAATACCTATCACTCCCGCTACCTGCATTTGAATACATCATTTCCAACTGACTGTTGTTATCAGCAACGCTTCCTTCAATTGCGTTTTGCGACATGGACTTTTCCAGGCCGATTTCCAAATAAAGCAAGGATCTCTGTGAAAGAGCCACGAATGAAACAAGAACATCTGCCACAGGAAATTCATCACTCAAAGAAAATTCTGAAAGATAAAATTGTAGAGCAGGAAGATCAAGAATAGTCAACTATCGAGGGATGCAATTTTTCACATTAATGTTCTCGATAAAACTAATTTATTCTCGAGAAAACTATTTTCGCATACAGAACAATTTCTTGCCGAAATTCTTCTTAACATTTTTACGTATTTTTAATTATAAAAAAAACCTTGATGAGGTTCCTGCCGAAAAACAGAAATGGGAGCAATGCTGACAAGTGGATTACAAAAAGTGATTTGAGTACATGCCACAAAATGTGGTGTGTTCATGACGTAAGCAATTTCAACACAATAAATGATCTGAAAAAGTGAATTTTTTCTCAAACTTTCCCCACGTGGTCTGCTAGTAGTTCTGTCTGTTACTTTACAAAATTTCATTCATTCTTAAATTGTTTTTCTCCCAAACTTGAATATCCTACAGTTTTTTTTAAATATATCAATTATTTATTTGATAAGTTCTAACAATAAACCACATCATCTAACGCTGAAAATGATCTATATTACACTGCATAGATTTTATTTCTTTTAATGAAAAACAAAAATGAACCGCAGCATCGTAGTCAGAGAGAAATATATATTGAGCAGTTGGATGGACACTAAGGACCAATTTACCCAACTGATCCAGAGGTTCAAATAATAAACGAGCAATACAACTCCAGTTCTCTGTATCATACAGTTGAATTCGCTTACCATCTTCGGTTGAAATTATAGCATATTTCCAAAACTGGTCCCTAAAATACATAATGGCACAGCACCTAAAATGGAATTTAGATTTTTGGACCTTATTTTTGAGTAAACTGCATCAGCTGAGTTTGATTTCATATTTGATGTGAAATGGATGGTACTGAAATTTAGAATGAGCAAACAGAATGTAGTAATACATAAATTAAAAAAACAATGAATTGCAAGAAATGGTAAAAATTGTACGGTGTATCTTGTGAAGTAATATTATCCAAGAATATAAGGTCCTGAATATGTCTACCATGTTCTGGTTGCCAACGATGAGCGAACTTAGTTCCTTCACTATCAATGATGAAAAATGTGATGGCACCACTACTTAGAGCCACCGCAATTGCCGTAGCATCTGGACTCAAACAAACTGCCTGCACTTCCTGAAATTCAGAAATCAAGAATAAGAGTTTAAACGCTACAACCAATCGATACTCCAACACAGTTTATTAAATGACTATGACAACGAAACTCATAGGTGAAAAATTTATGAGGTGGAATTTTTTCTTTCACTGACTCGAGTACAGAAAAAACATTTCAAAAAATAAATTAAGTAACGAGCTAACAAGATAAATTGCAATATGAAGTTAAGAAAAATAACCACTAACAGCGGTAGAGCTTTCAATTGGCAGCTCCATTATGGCATCATTTAATTTTTCACACTGTTCCAAAGTAACTTCTTCACAGTTGAGTTCTGATTTTATTACACCCAGTGAAACTGCTTCAACTTTGTTGTGCTACAAGAGTTTGCTTTCAAAGAAATTCATTACATACCTCAAAACTAAGAAATTTCTGTGTCATAGTTTTAGCCATCAGTTTTGATGACACTACTTCGTCAGGCTTACAGTCTATCCATGCTACAATTCCAAAAGTTTTTAGCAGTTTATTCCTATAAATATAAGGTGTGCTCTAATTCTACTGCAATTTGACTTCTTCAAACTGCTCTCTTAAAATGATAAAAACTACTTACTCTTGGTTGAAAATTACAAATAAACTTACATAATAAACAGCAATCATATGAACTTCATCGTGTAGTTCGTCAGGCTCTGGTATATAAGGACACCATGAAATACGCGGTGATGCACCAAATGGGATGGCATGATCATGTCGAATTATATTCAAATACTTTGTTCTGAATATGTCTTTCAATCACAACCAATTTTAACACAGAATACACTATAGACAAACATTATAAATGGCTTTATGTTCAAATATGAAAATATCTACACCACTGAAATCGAAAAGATTATCTTACACAACACAATCCTTGTCAACATGATATACGTATATATTAGCATTAACATCGATTACAGTAAGTAATGGTGCATGATGCGCCCATTGTAAATCAGCAGTTGGATGTTTGAAACTCTGTAAAAGAAAATGAGCAATAGATTACCTGAAGGAAACAATCAAAGCAAAAGTAGTAAAAATTAGAAAACTAAAAAACGATTTGATTTTTTTATCTATTTAAATAAAGATTACTTTAATCAGATGACGTTTTGCAGTGAGGCGCTCTAACACACGAACTGCTTCTCCCGTATTCTCGTTAAATAGCCGATAAGCAACCAAATTACCATGAACTGCCAGTATTCGCCCCTTATAACATTCCTCACTGGCCCATTTATATTCACTGAGGATTTGAGTGTAAACACGTGAAGAGTCACGATCACGAAACCGTACATCCTCTCGTTTTTCTGCATTCAACATAATCTCTCTTCCACCAGTAAAGTTAACGATCGCATCAGAACCATCGAGTACACTAGAAATTTCAGCCAATGTAATTTGCCTCACAAAATACGTTTTTTTCAGAGTTATGTGAAAAACAAACAAACTTACTATCTTTCAATTATAGTTGGAACTGGTGAAATATCGTTTAAATCTATCTGCTCTCCGGTCATCGAGCTAGTGAAATTTTGAAAAAATATATGAATACTAGATTTGTGCAAGAAAATATTTCTTGCTCAATAAAATTAATTTTGATGAAAAAGATATATCATGAATAGCAATTCACATACAGCATGCTTACCTGCAAATACTATGATTAAATTCATCACAATGTTAATAATAAACAATTATATAGGAAAGACAACGTTAACTATAACTGGCTTGCATAACGATAACATTAGTTTATATAAATATATATAAATAAGATATACAAAATTAGGGTAAATAATAATGATATCCACTTTAATTACTGTTAGTAAAACTGTAATGAGCTAAGTTATTATAATAATAGTGAATAAATATTGATGTATTTGTCGCACCGAATATAATTACTAGACAGATAGTTATAACATTCGGTAACAGTGACGAAAGAATAACATGAGACTGACTTGAATTATACATAATACATCACTAGGAAATAGAATAATGACTGGCGATTATAATAATGAATTAATCAAAGTGAAGGCAGTATGAAAACAGTGCACATAACTAAATAATAATCTCAGATAAATCAGGAAATGCTCGTAAGTTTGACTTATAATATGAATTAAAGTTGATAATAAGATGGTACAAGTTTGTCTATTTACTTTCAATTATGCTTCATTTTATGACAACTGCTTAATATATAATTAACATTATAATAAAGAATAGAATTACGATAAATAATCATAATAATAGCTAAAATTACAGTTCTACTCAAAAAACAAACCATCAAAGTCCAGCAAAAGAGCAAACAATTGACCTTTCTGGTCCATCTTTACGGAAAAATCATTAAATGACGCGAGTTCCCATAACACTTCAAAGAACTTATCTGTCTTCTAATTATCACTCTTTTAGTAACACATATTTAAAAACTACTTACAACATACATTCTTTTTCTTTTCTAATTTATTTATTACAGCTATAAAATACCAGGCAGTAATTGCATTCTTGTTATTAGAAATAGTTGAGATCTTGAGAGAAGTATTAGAATGCATAAGCAAAGACTGAATGAATAATTTAAAACTCACAAAAAATTCATTTTATATCGAATAGAATTAATCTAAATAATAATTATAAGTGTACTAATAAAATTTTTTAATACTTAAAGGGCATAGTAAAAGTAATCAGCAGAAAATATTAATGAATTGGATAGCATTAGCATAAGATGTAGGCTGGAAATATAAGCATATTGACTGAATTTAAAATCTGTCTGCATGATCAGAATTAGAAATATCGGTTGCTTCTGAAAGGTCACTTGTAGACCCAGTCAATGAATACAATGTTTGAGGTGTGTCCTCCTGAAACTGTTTTACAGATCAGTAAATATCGCGGTTAAATTCGAATGTATTCTGAGATTTTTGATTTAAAGTTTATCATTGAATATATAACCTTGAATTTATCTCTTACTGCTCGAAAGGAGTGAGCAAGTTCTGTTCGAGCCGAATTTCCAGGGGTTTTTGGAACTCGAGAATCATACAATCGAACTACATCACATACAGCTGGCCCTTCATCTTGAGAGAATGAATAACCTCCTGAAAACATCTTAGTTTTCTCTCAACAAATTTTGCACTTAAATATACTTTAAAATTATTCGAAAATTTACAACAGAATTCCGTGTCATTAAATTCAAAGTGAAGTATAAAAATTTTTGAAAAGAGAAACTAACGTAGTTTAGGCTGAATGTTCACAAGACTTAGTGCTGATTCTGATGCTTTAGCAACAATTTTTTTGACTTTCACTAGTGGATAGTAAAGATCACTGAACTGCTTGACATCAAATTCTTGGGATACAACTTCATCTCGTATAGAACGATACAAAGAACGTTGCAATCTGAATTTATTCACAGCTTTTTTCACCTTTGAAATTTTTTGGCAAATGACTGTAGCTGCAAATCCATTGCGTGTTTAACAAAACTTAAGCTAATATTCGTTGAAGTGATAAATTTTGTATATTTTCTGCAATTAAGGTAACTGATAATCATGCAAATACATCAAACAAAACATTGTCTACTTGATTGATCAAATTTATTAATAATTAAGAATATTTTTCAACTCTCAAAATCATTGCAGGTTTCCAATTAGACTAGATTAATTCAGAAGGCGAAGGATTACTCTGGAGTATGATACAACTTACACTTTAATCAATAAATCGAATGATAATGATACTAATACTACAAATACCATATATGCAATAGCAATCGGTGAAGTCAACACGTGAAATATTGTATTTGCCATTGCAGATTCAACTTTAATAATCAGACTTGCAGGAGATGTCAGACAGTATGCAAAGAAGAAAATGAAAAGCATCGCAACTGAACCTCCAAGTGCTATCCAAGACATCTGAAACTATTTACAGAACCAATTAATTAAGCCTGCACTTTGTTGAATTTCAGATCTGAAAATTCTTTTGCACAGTGAATTATTTCTATGAGTTACTTCCAAATTAAGCAAATATTGAATTTACAACATCTGAGAATTGAAATAATTTTGTTAAGTTAGACGTTTGTAAAATTGTGTTTTTACCACTGTGATCGAATCCGTTTCCATGATAGCCTTCAAGTTAACGACCATTACAACAGCCTGACCATTAAAAGGATTTTAATCTATTTTCAACTTCAAAAAACTGGAAACCGTTAAATAATGAAGTCAGTAGTACTACTTTTATTTTTCAATTCATTTGAACAAAATTGCTCAAAAACCTCTTTCTTAGTACTTGCTATTTGAATTATTTTCACTAATAATAATGCTAAAAATTCACAATATTAATAGCAGTTCCCATGACGTAATAATTAGAAACTCGACCATTTGGCCAGTGTACATCTGCAACAAATGCTCAATTTTTTAACTTCAGAAGCTAAAAGTTATTGAAAAAACTGTTAGCTTAAAAATAATATCAACTTTTAGTTTATCTTTTACCATTTTTAAAAGTGTAATATGCAA